AAAGGGAAATTTTAGAAAGTCCTTAAGAATGGGTTGTTGTATAACTCATGAATTACATGTATATCATAATGTTGACTGTGTGTGTGACTATAAATCATAAAATAGCTGAAAATCTAAAACTACTGATTGCTCCTACCCATTTGACAAGCCTGCATTGAATAAAAAATCGTCGCTCCTTCATAGTCCGTATTACTTTGGAATTGCTATTCCCAGATTTTACACACGATTTTTGTGTTTCGGGGGTTCATTGACCTACTAAATAATTTCATTTATTTTAAATCAATAAATCAAATATATACACATATCAATAAATTTGGTAATTGGTTCGTCTCCCTTTTACCCCGAGAGAAAGCATTATTCTTCCCGAACGAATACCAAAACAAAAAATTTTATTCCTTTCTCATTTTTAAACCTTAATGGAGGTAGTCAAATTAAATCTTAGGTCTGAAAAAACTGGTCCTCTACTCCGTGAGGTAGCTAGACACGTCGCACGCGCTAAACGGTGTATTATAATTACCGGTGCTGGTATTTCTTGTAGTGGTGGAATACCCGTAAGTAGTCTTTGACTAATTTGGATGAAATTAAATTCCTTCTCGGGATTTTCAACGCGTTTTTCGTTAGTTAAGACAGTTAAGCCTAACCTTTAGTGGTAATAGGCTTAATTTTTAAACTATATTTTCCCCTTTTTTTTCTTATAACTGTTATAAATAGGATTTTAGTAGTTCAGACGGTCTTTATAGCATGATAAAAAGTCAATATCCGGGTACTTTTCGTTCGGGCAAGGATTTATTTGACGCTGGCTTACTTAGAAACCATGAATCTATTAAAGCATTTTATCTTTTTATGGGAGTATTAAAAGAGTTGATTGTAAATGCTACACCGACAGCCACACATTTTTTTATAAAAAAATTGGCTGACATGAAGAAATTAAAAAGAGTATATACACAAAATATAGATAATCTTGAAGAATTAGTGGGATTAGAAGTGGATTGGCAACTTGAAAGAGTTAAACACTGTCAAGCACAAGTAGTTCAATTACATGGAACCATGGCAAAGCTACGATGTAGCGCTTGTACAAATAATTATTCTTTTGCGACGCAATATTGTGACGTTTTTAAGCAAGGTGAGGCGCCAAATTGCCCCGGATGTGAAGAGAGAGGTAAATATCACGAGAAAACGCGAAAGAAACGAACTTTTAATAAGATAGTTTAGTTTAAAGTTTTTTTTTTTATCAATTATATTTTAAATTGATAAATAAACGTGGATTTGACGAAATGTTGATTAATTATTAATTATTCACACTTCAAAAAATAGAGGACGCCAGAATCGAACAGGGTAGACGACCTCACACTATTGGACAACTGAAACCTACAGTAATTCTTTACGGTGATTCACATCCTAAAGGATTAGAAATTTGTCAAATTGCTGAACAAGATAAAGATAAAGCGGATTGTTTGGTTATAATGGGAACATCTTTAAGAATTCCTGGAGTAAAAGCACTCATAAAGGACTTTGCTAGAGCGGTTCATGATCGAGAAGGTTATGTGATATTGGTAAATGCTACGGATGTAGTTACTAAAGAATGGAATGGGTTAATTGATTATCAAATAGAAGGTACATGTGATGAATGGGTTAAACTTGTTGAAATAGAATTATCAAATATCGAAAGAACAGCGGCTACGAGACTTTTGAAAAGTAAATCGGCCGTAACAAATAATAAAGAACAAGATAAAAAAGAACGAAAGAAGGGTCGTGATGAAGAACCATTAGATAAGAAAGGAAAAAAAACAAAAGTTAACATAGATAAACGAGTGGAAACGAAGAATTCAAATAAAGAATTAATGGAAACGAGAGAAAGAAAGAAGAGACGTCTTAATGATGAAGCAATAGAGAAAAGAGAAAGGAAGCCGAGAATTCTCAAAGATAAAATAATCAAGAAGAAGGAGAGAAAGCCAAGGAGTGCAAAATCCATACAATCAGATATAAAGGAAAGGAAAACGAGAGCTCTCAAAAACAAACTTTTTGAAAGAAAAAAAAAAAGACCCTTAACGTAGACCGTAGGGATGATAAAGTTAGTTTAGGTTCTAAACCTTTAAGTTTCAAGTTAAAATCTAAGAACAGGTTTTTATATAATAAGTTCCAAACCAAAGATAAATCTGGTTTGGTTCCGAAATAAAATTTAAAACTTGGCTCGCAATATTTTGTAAGATGAAAAATAAAAATATGTTAATAAAAAAGTTACTAAGCTTTTAGAATATATTTTTTTGATCTTCTGAATAACTTTACTTGATATGCTAATATTGATTTATTTAATAAAATTTTGACTTTGTAATATAAAAGGGGGGTAATATGACGGGATGGATAAGTGGCAGAACACATAATATCGAAGTTAACACGGGGTCTATTATACCATTCACTAAGGTGAATCGAAGGATAAAAAAAAACATTCGCTTCTAATCACTGGATTACCAAATGATCATATATCCTTTTTATTCATATGGAACGAATAGGTACGTACATACTTTAATTTCATGTCGATCTGTCGATCCACACTTTACCTCCCAAACGATAAAATAAGTTAACTTGCTTTTATTTTCTATTTTTCTATATACTATAGGGTTTAAATAAAATAAATCTAACATGCCATGATCCCCTTTACCTTATGTAATGATTAAAAGAAATATATAGCACGCACGTACGTACAAAATATATTAATAATTATTAATAATAATTTAGAACATATCTATTTGTCACCGGGGTGCGATCGACCAATCAACGATCGCGCAAATTTATTATTAAAAAAAAACCAGACAAATGGAAATCATGCCTGAGTAAAAAATAAAATAAAATAACTCTAGGAACGACGAGATTATACCGACCTTTGACGATTTCATGGTTCTAAAGCCGACGATTCCGATGATGACGCGACAATTCCACGGTCCTAACGACTCCAACCATCTGAAAAAAACACGTTAGTAAAACAAAAAAAAATAAAAAAATAAAAAAATAAATTAAAATTACACCAACGACGACGGCTCCGGTGACTCTAAAACGACGACTCCGCACATAAACAATAATTGTTACATCATGTCACCACCGGCGGCAAGCACATTTTTCCTTTCCAAAATTAGAACTTGGTATTTAAAAACTAGATCTGAAACCAGATTCTACTGTTCCGAACCTGTCCCAGAGAGTAGTAGCTTAAAATATGATGGTTTAATGTTTTTACAAGAACACCTTTGGTTTCTTAATTATTTGAACAGTGAAAATCACGTGAAGAAAATTTTGTGGAAAAATCTAATAACGATAATATTGAAGTATTCGTCGTCACGTGACATGTCTATAATCATTATGATTGTTAGCATTTAAGCGAATTCTGAATCTGGATCAAAATCCCAACAAGCTAGCCCGCATTAACCGTAGTTCTGGTCAATTTTTGTCGGGGTTTTGTTTGTCGGGATTTTGACCCAGAATCGCGAATTCTAATTAAAAAATACAAAAAATGTTAGGACTCTTAACTATATGTTATAAATACATTTCGGATTTTTGAGGCTTAAGAAATAGCGAGCACTACGAAAAGGTAACAATAAACCAAACGTCGAGTAATATATAAAAAAATAGATCGATACATATGCGCGGATTTGTAGAATTGGGCCTCTAATGATCTGCAAAATATCACATGCTGATTGGGCGTAAATAAAAAT